TCTCCCGCTGCGCCTCGCCGGCTGCCTCGGCCTGTCTCCGTCGTGCTGCTCCGTCTTCCCCCCTCTCTTCCCCGTCGTACCCAAACGGCCACCGTTCGGGTGATCAGGAGGGCTTGACGCGATCGATCTCACTTTCGATCTCACGATCGATCGCTCTCACTGTCGATCTCACTGTCGCACTGCTTCGCCTCCCCCTCTCTGCCCCCTTCCCCCCGCCTAGTCCCCCCACGGCCGGCGCCCCCCCCCAGGAGCGCTGCCGTCGATCCCCTGCGGGCGGATCCCGCACCTCTCCACGCCGCGTGAGCTCGGCTGGTGCGTGCCCTGGCCTGGCCCATGCTGCGCCACGCCGCCGCGGCGGCGCGGCCGCGTCGCCAAAACTATGCGGCGGCATACAGTCGAGGCGTTGACCTAAGGAACCCTACATAAGGAACGAGGCCCCCTTTCTCTCATGAGTTCATCTTCGACTTCTCATCGACAACTCAAGGACAATCTTAGGCAAGGTGTGGAACAATCAAGGAACACCGAGCCCCTCCCCAACGAAAAGGATTTCTTCTTCAGCGCCCCGACTGTACTCGTTTTGGAAACATGTGCGCAGAGGTGGTCGTGTAGGATCTCGACTCCAATGCAAGCGGCTGGCATGAGGGCAAAGCCGAGAGCACGGACGGTCTGGATGCCACGGGGTGTATGCGGGGCTACATCCGCCGGCCTGGGACTCGAATGTCCTCCTTTCCCTTCTTCTATCCCTGGGAGGATCAAGAGACAGCATGGTGAGCGCCGTCTCCCCCCCTGCGATTCGCCATCCTGCTTTCATAAGCCTCGCGCATCTGCTCGTCCCCTGCGCGAGCAGAGCATGGTGGGCACGGAAGGGAGGGGGAAGGGGGGGGCGTCGGGGGGGAGACTGTCTTCTACGGTGGACTAGGTATGGTGGTCGGATGCCCATGCCCATTCAGCGACAGGGATGCGCATCCATGGTAATGCGCGCCACCCCACCACTGATGCTCGGTACCCTTTCTCGGATGCCTCGCACCACTCTCATTGCGAGGGCGCCATGCCAATGCCTGTTCTCCGTTGACATAATTGGGGAGATGGGCTTCGGATGCAGGTAGAGAAAGACCCTTGCCTGTCCGATGACAGGGATGGGCGTCCTGACCAGCGCGGCGCCTGTTTGATACCGCCAGTGTCCTGATCGACGGTTGCTTACACGATACTCAAGTGCGGGGGTCTAACCAAGCACCTCGTTGCCACTGTGAATGCCCCTCGGCGCGGCATGTGCCGCTGGTGCTTTGCGCCGTTCTCAGATGCCCAGCACCAGATTCGTTGCGGGGGCGGGATGTCGATGGGCATCCCAGCTGTAGGCACGAGGAACGGATGCCCGTGCCTGTTCATCTGCAGGCATGGGTGTCCAAGCCACCGCGGCCTACTTGGCATCGTCAATGTTGAAGGCTGCCGCAAGGCAGTCTGGACGTCTCACAAACCACTTAGGCGGGCCATGATTGAACAGGTGGGACGCTAGCCAGAGCTAGCTTTAGGTCGGACATGTCCTCCTACAGGGGGATTTGGGGCGAAACATTCAAAATAGTCAAAGCAGACTCAAACCATACTCAAAGCTGGTCAAACCAAATCGTCCCCCGACTTTCTTTTTTCTCCAAAAAAACAAACAAACTATTTTTGGATATTCCCCCTGTAGAGGGACAGGCCCGACTTCAAGCTAGCTGGGATGTGGGCACCTGCGCGCCCGATGTTCCCTCTGGCCGTGGGGGAAGTCCGTGTCGACCTCCCCCAGGGAGGGCAGCGCCCGGCCGGAAAGCGAGGCCGACATCGCCCAGCCAGTCACTGATGAAGGGGCCGCTCGGGGGTGCTTTTCGATCTTCGGGGAACTCCTGGTGGCGCCCCATGCGTCCCCTAAACTTTTCTCTTTACCCAGTATCCGATGGAGTCGGCATGGAGAAGAGAGGGAGGAGGAGGAGGAGGCGGAGGAGGAGGAGGAAGGGGAGGATGATGAGGAGGAGGAGGCGGGGGGAGGAGCTGGAGGAGGAGGAGGAGAGGGAGACGGAGGAGGGTAGGAGAACGATAAGGGAGAATGATGAAACAGATGATGAAGGGAGAGCAGAGAGAGAGGGCGATCATGGGGAATGAGGGATGGGAGAGAAAAGGAGCAGCAGGGGGAAAAACAGCGGGAAGTGTGGGAGGAGGGAGTAAGAGAAGGTATGGTCGGAGACGGACGGAAGGAGTACGGTGATGAAGAGGACGGCGAAGACGGAAGCGAACAGAACGAGTCGGGAAAGAGGAGGGGGCAGAGAAACAACATAATGAAACATATGCGATGGGGAAGTGAGGTTAAGGGAAACCTCTTGCGCTGCAACGGCCAAAATGATATCACCCTTCTGCAAAATCATCATTCTCCTTCGCCTCATTCCCCTCATCCTCTTCCAACCTCCTCCTGCTCCTCCCCATCATCCTTCTCTTTCCTTTTCTTGTTTTCTCCTCCTCTGCTTCTTCT